CCCCCCCCCCCCCCCCCCCCCCCCCCCCGAAAACGAAAAAAAAAAGGCCCAGGGGGTTCAAGGGGCTTTCCACCGAAAACAATAGCCTAGAACAGTTCACTCTCGACATATACCATTGACAATTACTGCTCCGGTCTTCTGCTTCCTGCAAATTACCACTACATTGCCGTGAAATAATACAACTCAGAACTGCCAATAAGTAAAAATTCATTTTGAGGAAAAGATCTTATTAGACAAGCAATTTAAGAATAAATCATTAGTATCAAAAAGCAAACAAAAGTATCCCAAGCAGCAACTTGGAACTGATGTACTCTATCAGAGGCACCATTTTAGATTTCTAATCCTTATAAAGCAAGGTGAAAAAATGAAAATTAACTCCCTAAGCATTCCATACGATAAGATGGTTGAGAACTACCCAGCCAAATAGGGCAAAGGTCCAGCAGTTGCGAAAACGTCTATAACAACGACATTAGCCATACTTTGGAAATGGCAGGCTGTCCAACAAGAATAAATAGTCAAAGAATAATAGGAATAGTATTAGAAATTATAAAGGCTCAAACTTTAAACATGTTGTCTTCATTTTTATCCCATTCATTTCACAAAGCAAACCACAGAGCCAAAAAACAAAAAACAAAAAACAAAATAACCAATACTTCTGATCCCTTAAATATGTAATAGTTTGATAATCTTAGATAAGTGTGTTCTTACATCCACCAGATGATAGTAATTAAACAAATCCACTAGGTGTACTTAATGAATAACAAGAACGTCTTTAAAAGACTCAACCCAATTGCATAAAAAAACATAGGTACCAACTAAGCCAATATTTTTCCATCAGAAATCTTGTCATGCGGATTTAAGGTCTACTACAGCATGATCTTGCATAAGTAAATGCAATTAACGAGCATACAACAATCACTTTCAAAAGAAGCTAGTCTTCTTCATGGCGATGTTTCCTGCTCTTCTTCTCAGACCGCTTCTTGTCCCTGCCCACTCGAGTGCCATCTGAGCCACTGGCATCAGAATAGGACAACGAGGAGGCCCTTCTGCTCCGCCGCTTATGCCGTTTCTCAGCAGAATCATCAGATAAATCATCATCTGAATGCTTGTGACTCCTTCTCCTCCTCTTCTCCTTCCTACTCTTCCTCCTTCGCCTACGTTCTTCCTCCTCGTCTGATGACGAGTCAATCTTTCTCCTTCTCTTCTCCTTCCTCACTTTCCTTCGTCCTTGATCCTCATCCTCTGAATCACTATGGCCCCTCTTCCCAGAACTCCGTTTCTTTGACCTCCCCCTCTTCTTCCTGGACCCAGAATCCAGCTCTGACCAATCAGAGTCATCATCATTCTTCTTCCTCCTACTTTTACTAGCTTTTGACTTGCTACCATTAACCCTTCTTCCATATTTTTCTGCGATTGCTCTCTCAATCTCAGAATCATAATCTGAATCCGAACTCTCACTCTCCTCATCTTCATCCTCACTGCTCTCTTCACTCTTGGCTACACTCTTCCCCTTCAACTTCTCCAAGCCAGACAAAACTGCAGCCTGGATTGCATCAGGGTTCTTACCCTCCTTATCACCATCATCCTTGGCACTCAAGAAATTCCTACACTGAAACGTCAAGTGCCCAACCCGGCCACACTTCTTGCACGAACCACGGACCTCATCAGCATTGGACCCCGTAATACGAGCAAGAGCCAGAAGGCCCTGGAAGCTGGCATAGGCATTCTCGGAATCAGGCTCTGAAGCGACACCCGCACTGTTGTTTGCCGCATCGTTCTTCTTGTCATCTTTATTGGGCGCATAGGGATCGTAACCAATCGCGCTCTGCCATATGCCGTGTGTCTGCAGGGCAGCGCTGCTGTGCACCCGGTTGTTCGCCGGCATGCGAACCCTCCCAGCTGTGGCAGGCATGGTGAGAAATTACGGATATAGTCCTGTAAAAGATGAAGAAGCAGGGAAATTCAAGGTAACAGAAACTAGGGTTTCAAATTGGGGGTCTACAATTATGATTCTATAAAAATTACAATAATTACAAATTGAACAGTTAATTTAAACTGAATTAAACAATAAACAGATAGATTAACGGAAAAAAGGAAAAGAATGAAGGCTTACGCTGCTGCGATTTCAAGGATACGACGAGAGGACGAGAAAGAGAGAGAGGTTTACGTCTTTGAATCTGACAAAAGATGAAACAACGAATGGTTAATAATATATAGCGTTTTTCTTTATATATATATATATATTTTTAGAATGCTTCAATTTTATAGGCTTATTTAACATTAGTGTCCAATATCTCAAAACTTTTTTCTTTACTTATAAGTACTCAGCTCCTCTTTAGTTTGGAATAAAAATTAAATTTTACTAAATTTAAATAAAAATTAATGAAATATGTGATTAAAAAATTAATAAAAATTATAAGTCTTAATAAATGTAAGATTGAAAATGAATTTAAAATAAAATAAGTTTTAAAAAATTGGGGTAAGAAGATTGATTCAATAAATCTTAACCAAAAATGAAGATTGTAGGGACGTTTGTATCTCAATCATTATTTCTTAGATTTAATCTTAGTCGTTCAACTTTCATAGACCTTTATAGGCTATGCAGACGAGGTAATTCCCAGTCTATCCATAAATATTCAATCTATGTTGAATTTGTAACACGTGTTAATTATAATTTATTTAAAACTTATTAACTACATGAAACAGTGTTGCCTCCAAAAAATAAATAAATAAATAAATGAACATCCAAGCACTTTTATGCATGCAAAAATTGAAAACTTTCTAAAGAGGAATAAACTCCATGGTCCAGATATGAAAGGATTCAAAGGAATCCTTGTCATATTCGACTATCCCAACATTTTGAAATTAACTAATAATATTCACATCATTATTTTTGTTAAGTATACCACAATTTAATTACGATAAACGTCCAATTTGTGCTCAATTTCGCGCTATATCTCCAACGTTTTTTTGTTATATTTTTGTTTTTAACATTCAATTCTTAAACATATCTTTTTCTATTGACAATTTTGTCCAATTATATAGATAGGGTAGAAATTTTTTTTTTTTAATTTTTTTTATTGACAAATAAATCTTTTTAACTCGCTTAAAAATAGGGCACACACTAGCAGTATTTATATAGGCATGCCAGTGAAGCATACAATTGAGCTTATATTAGTATATCACAACCATCCCTTGAAATTTATGGCAAATATGGACAAATCTTAATAGCTTCTCCAATTGTAATGTAAAATGGATCTAAATTGTAGCGTAGATCTCTAAAGTCGTCGGAAACCTCTCCACCGATGAGATGCAAAAGAATTGCAAATTGCATTTTGCAAGGTTACATTTATTTATTTTTTTACATTCTGAAGAGAGATAAAAGTGGATTTTAAATTTTTTCATTGGAGCAAAATTTGAATTTAGATGAACCGAAATATAGATGAGGATGCAAAATGATTTTGAAGACACCAATTTACACCACAATTGACGACGTTATCACATTTAGAAAATTACAATAACTTTCCATATATTTCAAATTTTCAATAGGGTGGGTGCAGAGTGGATTAGTTTGTTTGAACTTGAACAAAATTTGAACAAAAAATATGTTCTGGAAGTATTTATAAATAGTTTACGTCATAAATAAATAAAAATGAGCGTTGACAAAGATGATTACGAGATATGTATGCGAAGGAAATTAAGCATCGATGTTATTAGAATTGTTGACATTTTGACTCTTTATATTTTAAATTAAAAATAAATTATTTTAGGACGGTTCAAGATGAGTTGGATTTTGTATAGTTATAGAAACCCAACTCGATTTAATCGTCAACAATTGAAAACAACTCGTTAATAATCGTTTAGGTGTCAGTTTTTGCGGAGTAACATTCTAAGTATCCTGCTCCAAGTACTAAGCATAAACTCGTGCCATTGGCCACGTATAACAAAGTAGGGATTTGCTATAGGTACAGGGAATGGCTGACCGAATTGTTACAGGAATTCAAAAATGCTGACGTGGCATTTATAATTTAAAAAAAAAACTCTAAATTGAAACAAAAAAGGGGTTGCTCTCCGTCTTTTTGCCCCAAGTCCAAAGAAAACCCTTCAAACCATCACCCACCCAAAGCGAAACCGGCTGTCGCACTAACCTCCACCTCCAGTCGACACTGAAGCAGCGAAGAACAAACATCACAATGCTTCGTCGTTTGACATACTTTTGAGGTTTTGGATATTGTGCAATGGTACTTAAATTTTCTACCCTATTGGTAAGCAAGTTTGGCTACTGGAAGCTTTTAAATTTTGTTTAGTTTCAGGTCGCACCGCATAATTCGGTGCACTGCTTGAAATTTGTTCGATTTCGAGGATAGTTGACGTGTTTTTGAGGCCATATCTTTACCTTTTAGATAATAAAACCATATAAAGAATCTGTCTTGATCAAACACCAATCAGGGAAATAAAGCATTTGACATGCTCTCGGAGCAAATCTCAACGTTGCGAAGGACAAAGGTGAGGTATACTCAGTCTTGTTGGCAGTCGCAGTGTGAGGGTTAGATTCCTGAAACATGGATTGGGACTTTTTGTGGGCACCAGTGTACAGACAACTCTAGTTTCCTGATCTGCTGGAGCACATCCCGTGATTAACCTCTTTCATGATGCTCCAAGGACGGGACGGTGGGGGACCCTTAAGGTTGGGGTTCAACCTTTTAATAAAGCATTTGACATCACTCAAGGCATAATTACAAATTATAATACTAAAAGTATGAATACAAGGTCCATATCAGTGCTGAATTTTCCTGTACCTCAATACAGAATTACATAAAGAGTAGCCATATGTCGCTGCATATAATTTATCATCTTTCAAAGCCTAATTGTAATTTTAACACCTTTAACCAACCAACCAAGCTTCAATTTGAATCTTCTTGGTGCTATTGGAGTTGCTCCATGAGTTCATAATTTCTTCAACAAGTCTCCAAAAGCTAAAGCGATGTCATCTGGGTTTGGCGCAGTTGTCTTCAAATATGGGTTTGATATCGGGCTTCGGTGGGCTTTCGTTTTTACACTGTGGCCGGAAGTGCGCACTACTTAGTTAGCCAGACGTTGGCCAGAGATGGAGAAAGCTGAGTGGCGGGCTTCAATATCTATATTTTGGGGGAAATGGCGTATGAAACTAGAAATTCACAGTTTTATTAGGTCATTTTCCATTTTCATTTATTTATGTGTTTTGTTCCTCTGCCACATCATTTTTTTGAATTCCTGTAAATGTTCTGTGAGGGGTGCTTTGTACGTATAGAGTAATTCAACAAAGTATTATTACAACACAAATTCAGTCCTTAAACCATAGACAACCAAAAAAATTGTGAGGATCTTGTTCAAGGTTCATTTCCATGGCTTATTATGAAACAATAATGTTAGGAAAATATGTAATTGGCAAATCTGTGACCAAGGACCAAATTGTCAAAATTGTAAAGTCAAGGACCAAATTGCCAATGCCCAATAGTTCAGGGACTAGAGTTGCAATTAACTAAAGTTTATAGGCTAGGTCTAGGGTTGTGTGGGATGCCTCGAAGATGCAAGCGGCGCTTTGATTTCGCTAGAGTCTCGCCCTGACCTCGCTCTAGCCACAATTGCAGAACCAACTTTGCTGGACTCACGCTGAGCCATCGCTCGAGCGAAATATACGTCGCTCGAGGCTTGTCAGTACCTCGCTCGAGCGACCGTGTTACCTAGCCAATTCTAATTTTAAACGCTCACGAATGTTTGACGCTCCACATTACCATATATCAACCTCTATATATACAAAACGTCGGATTCGTGTTCATTAACCCAAAAATTCACATTGAAAACACTTTGAATATTCTTTCAATTCCTTGACAACCAAAAAACCAAATCATTCACTCCAAGGATCAAAAGCCAAAGAAATCTTTCATTGATCTTATACCAAT